CCCATACAGTAGAGTATGGAATATATGGAAAATATAATTTCCAAATTCAGAATAGATATACACATGCACAGTTTAAAATAAAAAAAAAAACAGGTATAGGGGCGCCTGGGTGGCGCAGTCGGTTAAGGGTCCGACTTCAGCCAGGTCACGATCTCGCGGTCCGGGAGTTCGAGCCCCGCGTCAGGCTCTGGGCTGATGGCTCAGAGCCTGGAGCCTGTTTCCGATTCTGTGTCTCCCTCTCTCTCTGCCCCTCCCCTGTTCATGCTCTGTCTCTCTCTGTCCCAAAAATAAATAAACGTTGAAAAAAAAAATTAAAAAAAAAAAAAACCAGGTATAAAATTGGTACTTCAAGATCAATAAAAATATTTCATGAACAGTTTTGACCAATAAAAATATTTGCTTCAGGAAATTAACGTCTCCTGTTATACTTTATACAAAATTGATTTTATTGTCTTTAGCTTTATATCAAATGATTTGCAACTTACAAAATTAGAGACACAGAAAAAGAGATATAAAAACAAAATTTTTAATACTTAAGTCTTCAGTTCACCATCACCAGGTAAATATTAATAACTGGTTAATAATTACATATTGCTGACCTATAAAGTTGATAATAAGTGCTAAACAAATGTATAAGTAAGCTTGTACTATTCGTTAGCAAGACATCCACAATGGTCAGAGATTATAACTGAAGAATTTTTGTGTGTTTTTTAACATTGTTGGGTACTTTGGAGATTAAGTACATGAATACTATACAAAAAAAATAAAGGCATTATTAAAATCTGAAAGAATAGTTGTTTAGAACGAAGACTCATTCTAGGCATATTTCAGTTCTGTTTTATCTACTACATTTTTGACACTATAAAAAGGGGAAACTATAAAAGTTAGTTAGGTATTTAAAAGACAAATACAGCGTTCATTAATAAATAATTTAGTAAAGAGATTTAGCAAGTATCTACTAAGTGAGCATTATGTTCCATGCTCTGTATAGATACTAAAGTCCCAGAAAGAGTCTTATTCCAGGATCTCACCAAGCCTACTTTAGAGGAGAAAACAAACAAACAAACAAAAAATCAAGCATCATTCCACAGAACCAGTGTAATTTTAAAGTCATACGCAAATTTTCTATGTTCCTGTATGCTATTAATTTCTTGGGTAATTTGGAGTACAGAGCTTCTTTTTTATATTAGGGTTTATTAATATAGTGATAAAGTATAAGTGTGGTGTTCCAACTTGTTACTTTTGTTTCTTCCTTTCTTCCTTTCACACATTTGGCCAGTAAGACCCTCTGACGTATCCGCTATCGCTACACAGATGAGTTAAATGGCTTTATTTAAGTTCATACACCAATTTCAGTTTTCTAGTTGTAGATTTCTTCATAAAAAGCGGAATGCAGAACAAGAATGAAGTGTATTCCTCTGAACAGGAGGCTAAGAAAACAATCTGTATCTCATTCAGTGCATTAGAGACCAGATTCTTTGAAATAAGGACTTACTTGTAGACTTACTGAATTAGTATCTTTGTGGAGTATCGCTGGCTATCAGGGTTTGCTAGCAAATGGTATCAAGTGATGTTAAAAAAAATTAGTTTTTTGAAACAAGCTGTAACAAGCTATAACTACAGTATTAATAAATCTTTTTTTTTTTTTTAATTTTTTTTTTCAACGTTTATTTATTTTTGGGACAGAGAGAGACAGAGCATGAACGGGGGAGGGGCAGAGAGAGAGGGAAACACAGAATCGGAAACAGGCTCCAGGCTCTGAGCCATCAGCCCAGAGCCTGACGCGGAGCTCGAACTTACGGACCGCGAGATCGTGACCTGGCTGAAGTCGGACGCTTAACCGACTGCGCCACCCAGGCGCCCCTTAATAAATCTTTGTAAGATGACCAATTTTTTTTTATAGTTGGTTCCATTTCACATATTACTTGTAAGTCTTTGTCAATGTTGCAAGATTTTATTCATGGAATTAAAGAGTTTCGTTTTTTTTCAAAATTATTACAGCCCTTCATAATTATCACTTTAATGGATGCATATTTTAAATACTATAAGTGTACAATTATTAGTATCATTTTTTAAAGTAAGAACTTATATTGCTCTGTTCTACACTTAATCTAAGTCAAAAGGCCAAGAAGTAATATCATGCTCTATTCTCAATAAAATCAGGAGAATTAGTAATGTATGTGAATTCTAAGAACACGAATGTGATTATTAATAATAATAGTCAAGTCAATATTTTAAATAATAATATTGTACAATAATGGTTTTAAATAATAGTTTCCTCAATACTTTAAGGATTATTTGAGTCTAAAATAATAAAAAATAAATATATTAAGTATGAAGAATGTCTTGAGTTTAGAAACTTAAACAACAATTCCTTTTAATAGTTAACTTAGATTTATACAAAAATTTGGAAAAGAATATGATATAAACCTCTCAACCAGCACTCTCTTAAGCACCGGAAAAATCATTATCTTTCCCAGTTCTTTCAATTTCTGTCAGAAGAAGCATAGAGAGAACTATATATTTTGGTAATTAATTTCCTTAAGATAATGTTAGAAACATCAAGTTCTTTAAAATATAAATGAATTTCAAGGTGAGCACGCTAGAGGATAATATTAATGGCATATGATTGATTGTGACAAGAGATCTGATCTGAAACACCATTATTATGAGTATTTAAAAAAATCCATTTGCAAATTCCTGAAAATACCAAAGAGTGCTATGGCTGAATGTGTCTCAAAGTTGAAATCTGAAAATCTGTCCTTATAAGTATGAAATTGTTTATGCACAATATGTGGCATGTCTTCCTCATAAAAATTTATTAGAAAATTTTCATATTCTGAATAAGTTATAGTTTAGCAAATTATCTAAAAGCTTGTAATTCTGAGTGAAGACAGTCTGTAAAAAATATAGATTGAAATGTATGTGCCTGACTTAGTAACATATGCAATGTTAGAGGTCTTAACTTAAAAAAAAAAAAATAGTAGGTAATTATACACTGAGTATCTACTATATACCAGACATTCTTTGAACTCACAGTAGAAACATGTGACCTGTGTCAATCTAGAAGGTGTTTTCTTTGTTATTAGCCTTCCAAATGTATTTTTACATTTTACAAATACATTGGGCTATACAAACGCATTGCTGTAAATAGTATCTAACCACATATTGGGCAGTGAGGAATGTCATAAATTAACACTGCAACTGATGATAAAAAATTAAGTAGATATATGTGAATAATAGAAGTCTTATTAAGAAGAATTAAAATTATTCCAGAGAACAGAATTCATTAACCTCTGGCACTTGAGAGAGGATCACATATTTGGCATTCTTATATGTAGTATGTCAATTTGAGTATTACATAAATATATTGATACACTTTCTCTATACTTTTAATTCTCCTTTCTTCCCCCTCTCCCCTATCATTCTCTTTCTCTCTGCTGAATAACTTCGGGACAAAAATGCCTTAAACATCATCAAACTTTTTTTTTCCATGGATTTCTTACAGTCTTTACTGGGTTTTTAAATTGTGAAACTCCCGAATGGGGTCACTGCATGCCTCATTCTCAAATAGCATTTATTTTTTTGCTTGAAATCTATTTCAATATATGAATATCAACACATGACTGCTACACAGAATGGTATTTGAGTAAGCACAAGCTAGATTTTATAATATGGTTTTATGTACATTAACAAGTATATTCATGTCCAGGACATTCAAGGTAAATTACCATGTGTTAAAAGTTGCTATAAAGTGAATATAATTTCATTGTTACATCAATTTATTTGCATATATTTTCTAAAATAAAATTAAATTTTATAAAATGAAAATGGCTATTCTACATACAAAGAAAGTTTATAGGTGCAACATTTAATTAGATTTCTACTAAATTTTATAATATACATGTCACAAGATTCACACAAAAAAGTATATAATAAAAATTTAGTTTTCATCCCAACCGTTTAGTTCCCTTTTCCAGAAAGAACCAGAATTAAGAGATTTTGTGAATCCCTCCAAAGACACTATGGGCACATGTACATATTCATACATACATTTCTTCCACTTTCCTTAAACAAAAATTGTACCTAGCTGAATTATAAGAGAAAAGGCAAACCATAATATCATGATTTTATGATTTCCAGGGTTGTTAACTATCCAAATATGGAGACCACAGATCCTTGGGCTTTGAATATTAATATTAATATTGAATATATACTTAAATATATGCACAGAAATGCTGGTTATGATTTTGTAACTTTGTGAAATGATCAAAGTAGAAATGTATGTAATTGAAGCAAAGATGATTCACTTCCGTCCCATTTTTCCTGGGGAAAGGGTTGGAGACAGCCCTATTTCCATCTACAAGTGGGGAAGATACAAAACCAAAGCTTTCTCTATTTCCCTGAATATCAGAAAAAGTCAATATCTACATTTGAAAAAGAAATATGTATAACTATATTAGCAAAATAAATTCTCATTGTCAAGGATCTTCTCCTTGAAGAATGTATCTTTTAAAGTAGTTTATGTTAGCATTGATTATTTCTCTGGTTTATTTTCCATTTACTTGAGGCCAATACTGGATGAACAGTAGAAAGATGAGAGGTCTTCCGTGATACCTTTGTAATACAGAGTTACGCAGCATTATCAAATCACAGTCCAATGTTTTCTCTTTGGGACTTGGTGTAATCACCCTCATATCTTTAGCCATATAAAGACTTCCAGTATATCTTAATAAAATATTTGTTTTACCCTATACTTGAAATTCTTTTTAACACATGAGAATGGACTACAGATGACTACTGCATTCCTCATTATAGTCTCATTAAAACCAAAGAAGAAAAATTAAATTCATTTACACTTGTGTCTCAATACTCACACATACATACCCAATCTTATTCAGCGATTATACGTAAAATGTTTTAAAGCACAGACTGATTCTTTTCATGACATAATTCATCAACAGTAACCGTAATTATAATTTTATCATATGTTATCTTACCTACTGTTGAATTTTTCTGGGTGTTTTTCTCTCATGATGTGGAATCTGTGTGCAATGGAAGCATCCTAGGTAGAGAAACAGAAAAGAAAAATGAGACAGTTTATGATCCTACTATTTTGTGCAAAGATCAAAAGAGAAAAGTTAATGAGTAAAATTTTTAAATTACTCTTTCTTAACAATATTGCCAAGAATACACTCTGAAATTAGGCAAAAATGAGTAACCTACAAAAATTCAGTACAAGTGTGATTTATGCCATCATTTCACCGTCGGTTACTTGTTATATTGACTTCTGGAAACTGATTTCTATTTAATTTATGTATCTCCTTTAATAACTGGTTTTGGCCTCATGATCGAAGTATGTTTAAAATAGTGTAAATGAACATAAATGTTAAAAAGTAGTTGAAAATATTGTAATGCATAGCTGGAAGGATGGCCTAAGTGGAGCGATAGTAATTTCTAGTCCTTTGAGATTAATTATGAGTAAAAAGATAGTGTGAAAGTGCATATTTAATAAAGGTAAATGAGTATAATACATGACTTCAAAGTTTGCTAAGAGTGTCTTGCATGTGTAACTATTAACTGTTCAGTCACAAGCAACCTTCTCACATATCTTGCTTAATGGAGAAAAGAAAGCACCGAAGAGAGAAAATTATTTTTGGAGAATTGGTGTAATTATAACTAAGCTCTGAGACCCCAAACATATCAGTTCTGAACCCTAATGGATGTTTCTTTCTTTTAGGAAATCCATTCAGAGTTTCTATGAGACAGAATCACACTGAGCATGTGAGAATGGTAGAATAATGTGATTCAAGCTTTTCAAACAGACTGTTCTTGCTGACTTTAAACAGTTGCCCCTGTTATTCCAAGCAAGAAGATATTTCCCCATTCTTCATCTACACATGATTAATCACTCCAATGAGAAACTAATATATTTACCAGTCATCTCAAAAGAAATGGGTCTACTGTTGTGATTAACTTAATTTTGTTTCATAGTGCAGATAAAAAAAAAAAAACATACACAAAGGAAATAAAGAAGTTGTGTATTTGAGAGAATCTTGAAAACACTAATCAAGGATTAAAAGTCTAATGAATGAAATGAAAAGGCTAATGTGCTTACTCATGCATAACAAAGCATGAGGCACAACAAGAGAGGGACCAAAGCCCGCTGCAGATGGCAGGCCCAGTAGCTTTTCCCTACAAGATAAAGCTGTAATAGCACTGTTAGATTTTCTGTACATTTTATCCTCTAAAAATCATTAACTAATTAAACTAATCTGCAAGAGAAAAGGACACAAAGATATATAGAAACACTTATTAAAAAGTTACCCCAAAACCCTCCGTGGTTTGGTATTCTAGGATGTCTTTGTTATACATACATGGTCAACTTCCTGGTTTGCTAAGAAGTAGTAATGTCAAGATGGTTCACTTTTATTGGTTTAATAGCTCTCAAATACAGTCAGAGAGTTTCTTCTTTTTTTTTAAATTCTTACTAATAAGTCATAAATACATCTTAGAATGTTGTGTTACGTGGTATGAAATTACAGATAAAAATGTAGCTAGGCTATTAAGGGTATATTATATGACATGATCATTAATTTTTTTAAATCATTTATTTTGACTTTATCCCTAATCTGGTTCAAAATCAATTTGTAATACTTTATAATTAAATGCATACATCCAGCAGACCAGCTGAACAAAAAGAAAAGAAATATGATTCAAGTACTAAGAATGGATGATCAATATTGGTTATCCATAGGGAGACTATCATTGAATTTGCTTCTGCGTGAATTATTTGTTCCTGCTAACGTAGAGAACTGAGACTTTTAAAAATAGATTGTATAGTATAATTTGCTTTACAAGCATATTATTTTTGCAATAACAAATCTCTTCCTTTCCAAAGCAACATAAATAGGTCAGAGAGAGGGCAAGAGGAAAGTAGAGAAAAGGGGAAAGGAGAAGAAAGGAGAAAGAGTATCAAAAGAAGACCATTTAATTAGACTGGACTATAACTGGGTAAACTCCTAGGCATATAGATCACCAAATAGCCAAGGACAAACTTAATGTTAGCTCTATCTCCAAGATACTGGGACAATGGATCATGTAGTAAAAGCAGGGATAAATTAAAACTAGTGAGGAACACTGGGATGCCTTTTCCATGTGTTGAATGGCTTTCATGGGAGTTGGCATTTGCTAACTACAGGACTGATAAGAAACAATGATGGCAGGTGTTCATTTGGATGAGAATTCAGACTGAATTCCCATGGGACACTCTCCCTTTGGCGTAACCCCAAGAGACTTAAAAGAGAACTGCCAAACACTGTAAACTTATCCAGCAGCCATATTTCAGAGACACCGAAGACTCTGTAAAAGGAGACCAAGTAAGAAAAAGCTGTAACAGTGTCGTTTTTTTTTTTTATATAAATTGTGCTGTTTCTGTCTCTATGTACTCTACTCTTGAGAAACATAAATTAATCAACATTACTCCCACATTCTAGAATGAACAAACTGTAAATTCAGACAGACTTTTACTTCCAAGACTTGTAACTTTGAGCAAATGACTTATTTATTGGTAAGTCACAGCTTTCTTATCTTTAAAAGAGGATACTCATACTCCATTATAATATTTTGGTGAAGATTTTTTAGATTATTTTGTATAGTTGGGATGTTCATATATTTTATATCCACATCAGAATTACACTAAAAGTAAAAGGGGATGCTAAACCATAGTTAAACTGTATAATTTTGGAACATGTGTTTACTGACTCTGAAATTGGTGTTATTTCCTGAAATTATAAAATACTTTAAATTAATTAAAACTTAAAGTTAGATCTAAGAAGTAAAAATAAAATACACCCATCCTTATTAAGGCAAGACAAATTTAAATATGTAAATTTTATAAGCAGCAGAAAGTAGTAATACACACACACAGTACATAGAAATATTCATATATCAGAGAATCAGCTTCTGAGTCATAGCTGTCTTTAATACTCTGTCACTGATATTTTTCTGAGAAGTGATTTCTCTTTTCCTGTAAGGGGTTATTACATTTTTATTTTTAAAAATACAGTTAACCTAAATCTCCAAAGTTGCATTTTAAGTTATTAATTCAAAATTCATCAATTTTAAGTGTACCATTCAAAGAGTTTTGACAAAGGTATATAATAACTACTTTCACAAACATGATAGAGAAATTTTCCATTACCCCAAAAAAGTTCCCTTTTGCATTTATATACTTTTACACTGGCATATATCCCCACTACCCCCCTTAAAAGACATTGGTCTGTTTTCTGTCACTGTAATTGCATTTTCTAAAATTTCCTATAAATGGAATTTAAAAGTACTCTTTTACATCAGGCTTCCTTCACTTATTGTAATACTTAACGAGATTCTACCATTTGTTCCCATATCAGTGGTTTGTCACCTTTTATTACTAAATAGTATCCAAATGAAAAGATAGACCACAGTTCATTTACTCACTGATTGCTGGCATTTGACTTTTTATGAATAAAGCTGCTCTGAACTTTTGAGCACAACTCTTTTCATAGACATATGTGATTGTATCTTTTGAATAAATACCTAGGATTGAGACTGCCCAATTGTATTGATAAAGATTGTATCATTGTACCATTTTGCACTTCTACCAGTAACATTTGAGAGTTCCAGTTACTCCCCATCTTTACTAACATTCCACAGCAACACCAACCCTTGGCAGTCTTGATTTCACCATTCTAATAAATTTGCAATGGTGTTGTTGCTTGGAACCTTAACCATGTGAGCCAACACGAGCTGCTTCACTAGAGGGGTCGGTCAATTCTGACGAAAATAGAAGATTTGAATGTTCTGGGGCAGACTTACTAGATGCTTCCAGCTCTACCACAATGCATTCATTCTGGCAGTTCTTGTACTATCTCAGAGCAAAGAGCACTCCACAATTCCACTTGTGGTTTCTGCCTCAAAATCACACCACAAAGAGCCTCACGTGTTTTAAAGGATTCGTCCTTTTTTATTAAATTTCTCCAAAAGATATTTCAGAGGATATATGGTTAAAGTCTCCTTTGAAGAACTTTAAGCTCTCAAACTGATTACGATCTTTTTCTTTGGTTAAACTATACTTAAAATAAAAGCAGTAAGTTGAAAAATGCAATGTATCACAATTGTTAAAATAAATTTTCCTTATTGTTGATTGAAGTTGATTATCTTTTCATATGCTTTTGCCTCAACTTTTTCTTGTGTGGAGTACCTAGTCAAGTCCTTTATCCATTCTATGCACATTAAAAATATTTACATTAATAACCATAATGATGATAATTAGCAGTAATTAAATATTCACTACTCTTTCTTAAAGCACTACTTTAAGAGCTTTGCATGTAATATTTCATTTAATCTTCATAAACATTTTATGAGCTAGCTACTGCTACCTACATGTTATGATTGAGGAAACTGAGGACTATGTAGTTTAGAATTGTTCCAGACCATACAGGAAGAAGCTGTGAAATTAACAGCTAAATACAGGTAATCGCCTTCAAGCCTTTTATATTTTTTGCTAGTAATGAGAAAGTCATGCATTGCAAATATTTTCCAAATTTCTTTTTTTCCCACTTTTCTTTTTTACCTTGTAGTGTTAAATTTTTATATTTCAGATATATTAACCTTTTCTTTCAGTCTTTTGAGTCATGCTTAGAAAGATCCTTCCTTTCTCCATAATTCAGCAGAATACTTTTTGTTTTTTCCCTGATGACTTCATATTTTACACTGTAGTGTTTCAATCATTTCAGATTTATACATATTAACATATATATTAATAGAATGTGCTTAATAATCTAATTTTTCTTCCTTGTTTGAAAGACACAGGTAATTCTATAATAAATTTCCACCTCTATATTTCTGTTACCTCTGAACTGCACCCAACTATTTTAATTATTCTAGTTCTGTACTAAATGTTCATATTTGGTTGGGCTAGAATAAATTCTCCTCTTACTCTTTTTAAAAAATTTGTTGTTTACCTACAAGATTCATATTTTTGGATACAATTTGAAATAATTTTTGAGTTACCTTTGCTTTTAA